TGCTTTACTAACTAGAGTATTAAAATTATTAGATTTCTCTAATTCAAGCTTATTCTCAGCTAAAAGCCCACTGATATACCTTCAGCTAGTTTCCCTCCATCTGCTTTTACAGAAAACTTACAGTTCAGACTTAAAGGTTGGTGGAAGGAAACGGCAACAAAAACCGTCACTGCTGGCCACACAAGATGGAATCCACAGTCGGGTCAGAACACAGCAGCTGGCATTTCAAGAGAAACTGAAGGGAGCAGCAGTCAGGACTCTCATGTCTGTCCCGCTGATTTGCTTCAGTCCACCGTCAGATGTGGAGACGCGTCCTACAATAATAAAAAAAAATAAAGCGTCACACATGATTTTTTTCAAGGTGCACTGAAGCTGTTTCCTGTGTGTCTCAGTCTTTCGTCCTGTGCTGGCTCTCTTCAGACGTTAAAGGAAAGTGCCTGAAGCCTCCTCTTCCTCATGTGCTCATTGATTTTTCAGTGTAAAAACTGTATGACAGAAAAAAAAAAAAGCAAAGGTGCAATTCATCGGTTTGTCTTTTTATACATAACTTACATTTATACCAGTGTAAAAAAAAAATGGAATATATATGAATATATACTGTTTATGTATCAGGTCAGCGATGTACATTTTTCAGTTTTATTTTTTTATTGTTTCTAAAATGATGGATGTCAAAGATACAAACAAAAAGACTTAAATCTGAAAAATAAAAGAAAACACTTAAATATGACAGAGTTTGTGTATTTCATTTACTAACATTGACAGACTTGTGGTGTTCAGAGGAAACGGTCACCCAGCTCTGCGACAGATATTCAAACTAATACACTGCCTGGCCAACAAAAAAAAAGGCGCCACCTGGATTCAACTAAGCAAATAGGTACGAGCCTCCTATTGGATAATTACTGCATGGGCGATTATCTTTCAGCTGGCAACAAGTTATTTAACCCCAACTGGTGCGATGACTTCTCATTTCCTAAACAACCATGTCGAAAGACACATCCCGAGGTTGTGGAAAAGATGCTAGTCTGTTTGAGAAGGGTCAAATTATTGGCATGCATTGTGAGAGACCGAGCCAGCCAAGCATGAGGACACAGTGGTGATTGTCAAGAAAACTGGGTTTTATTTCCAATAAAACCAATAATCCAAACAAAAAAATCAGGGCCCTTAAAAGAGGTCAAATGAAGAGATTAACTAAGGGCAAAAAAATATCAAGTTCAAACATTTGAAACCTCAAACTAACTGAACAAAAAAAAACTGACCTGACATACAGCAAACAAAGGGGACTTAAATACTGGCTGATCAGACCAGACTGACACACTGAGGAAGAGGTAGGGAGAACATCTACACCAATTTAACAAAAATAACTAAACAGTTAGCTTAAGGATTAAACTTAAATGAAAATTATTAAATTAACAAAATGAGCAAATCAAAAAAGTAAGAAGAAGAAATTATGCAACATATTTAACATGTTGAGTCCATGATCTTCCCCCTTAGTGGAACTCCAGATGGTACCACCCAATCAGTCCATGATCATGTCAGCCACAGTCTCCCAGTTGACAGCACTCCCACAACACCAGAAAAGAAAGCACTAAATATATTAAGCATTTGACAAAATTATATATACAAAAGTCAACCAAATGTGCACACTACAATCGGAACTAATGTCTTCAATATTGTCAGAATAGAAAATACATTTATGCTACTGTGTATTAAAACTTATGAAAAAGTGGTTGTGTGTGGGGTTACTGACCATGTGACCATCACACCATCAAGCAGAGAAAACATCTAAAGAGATTCCAGAAACCACTAAAATTGGGTTAAGAACCGTCCAACGTGTTATTAAAAACTGGAAGGATAGTGGGGACCCATCATCTTCAAGGAAGAAATGTGGCCGGAAAAAAATCCTGAATGATTGTGATCGGCGATCACTTAAACATGTGGTGAGATCAAATCGAAGAAAAACAACAGTAGAACTCAGGGCTATGTTTAATACTGAAAGTAAGAGCATTTCCACACGCACAATGCGAAGGGACCTCAAGGGATTGGGACTGAACATCTGTGTAGCCATAAGGAAACTACTAATCAGTGAGGCTAACCGGAAAAAAAGGCTTCAATTTGCTAGGGAGCATAAAGATTGGACTGTGGAGCAATGGAAGAAGGTCATGTGGTCTGATGAGTCCAGATTTACCCTGTTCCAGAGTGATGGGCGAATCAGGGTAAGAAGAGAGGCAGGTGAAGTGATGCACCCACCATGCCTAGTGCCTACTGTACAAGCCTGTGGGGGCGGTGTTATGATCTGGGGTTGCTGCAGTTGGTCAGGTCTAGGTTCAGAAACAGTATGTGCTCAAAGAATGAGGTCAACTGACTACCTGAATATACTGAATGACCAGGTTATTCCATCAATGGACTTTTTCTTCCCTGATGGCACAGGGGTATTCCAAGATCACAATGCCAGGATTCATCGGGCTCAAATGGTGAAAGACTGGTTCAGGGAGCATGACACATCATTTTCACACATGGATTGGCCACCACAGAGTCCAGACCTCAACCCCATTGAGAATCTTTGGGATGTGCTAGAGAGGGCTTTGCGCAGTGATCAGACTCTACCATCATCAATGCAAGATCTTGGTGAAATATTAATGCAACACTGGATGGAAATAAAGCTTTTGACATTGCAGAAGCCTATCGAAACAATGCCACAGAGAATGCGTGCCGTAATCAAAGCTAAAGGCGGTCCAACAAAGTATTAGAGTGAATGACCTTTTTTTTGGTGGCGACTTTTTTTTGGCCAGTCAGTGTATCTGACCTGAAAATGCTGATAGGACATCACTTGACATCTCCACAGAAAACACCCTCACTGCAGTGTTGCTGGAGAAGCCTGGGAAGATTGGAGACATGGTGCATGTCTTCAGGACTGTCCTCTAATCCAAGGCTACTGGGAAAAAATAAAATAATCAACAAACGGATGTTCCCCTTAAATACACAAATAAATTGATTGATTGATTCTACTGATCTACCTCACTCACTCAGATCAGCAGGCAAAAATGGGATGCCGATTTTAGCATTTCTTCATGTTAATTAATTAGTGTGTCTCTTTCGATTTAAAAGAAAGTCCCTCTGGCTGGTCTTTAAAAGCTTACCAAATAAACTGCCTGTGCACATTCTTAGTCATCTGGGTCATAACAAGCACCAAACAGGCTTAAGTTGGAAGACAACTGCACATTTTTGAAGACATTTCGACTCCTATCCAGGAGTCTTGTCAGTTCTGTTGGATTGAACCAAAATAACAGAGGTATCAAGTAACGAAGTACAAATACTTCGTTACCGTACTTAAGTACAATTTTTAGGTATTTATACTTTACTCAATTACTTATTTTTCTTCCTACTTCTGACTTCTACTCATTACATTTTCACGCAAGTATCTGTACTTTCTATTTCTTGCATTTTTAAAACAAACGTAACTCGTTACTCTTGGTTTCGGTTTAATGTTTATAAATATTTATTTCACTGCATGTGCTCCATCCAATGCAGATCACTGGCTCCATCCACATCTAGTGAAAACTAGTGGAATTGGATGAGTCATATAATGCAAGCACTCATTGGTTAGCTAAAGGAAATCGTCAGAAGCCAGCAGGTGTTCTTGAAACTGCAAACGTGAATTGTCCATGCCATGCAACAATGTTGGATTCATAAAAAGATGTTGAAATGTCTGAAAGGTCGGACACAGGCCAGGGCGTATCGGGAGATGGAGACGGTGACCAACAAGACCTCCCTTATCCTTGGCCCTATCTCAAAGAGATTTTCAAAACAGTCGAAAAATTAAGCTTTCAATTCATATAGTGGCATCTGGTTGTTTTTATTTAAAGGTTACTTTATACTTTTATACTTTTAGTAGTTTTTGGAGCACTTACTTTTTTTTTTTTACTTGAGTAAAGAGGTCAAGTTGATTCTTCAACTTTTACCAGAGTGTTTTTAAACTGCAGTATCTATACTTCTACTTAACTAACAAATGTGTGAACTTTTGACACCACTGGAGCAGATGGGAGGAAGTCTGCACTGCTGATATCTGTTCTGTTATCACAGCACAAGTTATTGATTTGTCTGGTTGGAACTCATAAAATGCACACTTTTTTAAAACTTTGACACTGATCTGTTAATGTAGATCAATATAGGACATATAAGTAGAGGACTGTTTTCTGTAAACTGTTGAAGTAATCTGATGATTTATCACTTTACAATCCTCATGATATTAGTTATTATGTTTATACATTTTTATGATCTTCATTTAGCAATATCTGGCTATAATCTTCCCCAAAACAGCTTTTGTTCTTGGAGAAAAATAGTTTATTGCAGGCAATCTTAAGTTTATATTAATTCAGCTAAATCTATAGATACAAACTGATGGAAATAGATTGTTGTGGCCCAGCTTTGATGACACAAAAAAAGTGGAAATCCACAAAGGCCACAGATGCACCATGGACTAATTTTACGCAGACATAGAAAAAATGTTCCAAGTAAACTTCTTTAGTTTTCTTAGGTTATTTTCTCCACAGGCAAGCAAACTGAAAAAGAAAAACATTTCCTCCATGTTTCTCTTGCACTGGTTAAAAAAAAAAACCCTACGCCCACCCAGATGCATGCAAGTCCTGCCATTGATGGCCTGTTTATAAAAATAATTCACCTAAATTAATCATAACTAACCAAAAACAAAGGAACATGACTAAATAACCAAAAAACAATCTCATAACAGATATCAAACAATAAATTAAAATAAACTTAGCAAGATTATGCACAAAACAAAAAACTTTGCTAATTATTAACAAAAATAATCGTCTCCTACATAGATATTGTGAAACGTAAACTCACAAAATCCTAAACATTGAATTTGAACATTTTGTAGTTTAGTTAAGCACGCCTTGAACGGACTATTTAGCGGGAGCACACGCCCATGGCCCAAAAAACTACAGTACCCATAATTCCTTTAGTCTGGTATTTCCGGGTTGGTCGTAATCAAACGGCCATATTTGATTCGGTTACAGTCTTCTGACAGCTACTTTACGGAGAAAATCGTCTTAAAATTGACGACAGGACCAATTAAATCCCTCTGAGACGACCTCCAGCTGCTTCCACAGCCAACACACTTCACAACCAGCAGACAACAATGAATCCGGAATAGTAAGTCTGGTTCTGGTGCGGAGTGACACGTCCAGGTCCGGGCTGAGCTGTCAGCTCACCGGGGAGGCTAACGCTGAGCTAACCGGGCGGAGCGTCGCGTTAACGATTTTTCTCCTCGGTGCTCAGGCTTTAACCTGTCCGCCAGTCGGGACCTCTGGTACCAGCCGCGATGTCGAGCTCCTACATGGGTCCTGACACCAGGTCTAAGTCCAGATATGACCGAGCCGAATTCCAGGCAGTATCGGTCTGCTAGCTAACTGTTAGCTGCTAACTGGCTAACTCTGTTTACTCTGATTAGCAAATTATTGTGTGACGGGTTAGTTACTGTTTGGCAATAGGTTAGATGTGTTGTGTGCTGGTCAGCGTTTAGAGGATCGGTTAGTTACTGATGGGTTAGTTACTGTGACGAGTTAATATCTGACGGGTCAGTAATTGTAGATCTAGTTGCCGTCTCAGGGGTGTGTTTAGTTGTTTTAAGAATTCAATTACCTGGCAGTTTCTCAAATGTGTGGGTTCTTTCTTTGTTTTTTAGTACTAAATTTAAGTGATATTGGATTAAAAATGTATTGAATCAACTGCCTGATTTTAATTGCTAAGTGGGCTGATACACTTTCTGTTTTGTTTTTAGCCAAATACAATTATTGAGTTTATTGTGGTGAGTGATATCGCTGACTATGTGTGTGTATATATATATATATATATATATATATATATATATATATATATATATATATATATATATATATATATATATACATATGTGTGTGTGTGTGTTGGCCTTTGTTGGAATAACAGCTGAGTTGGAGCTACAAAGGTCCCACCCATTTATCAACAGATCTTTCTCAGAGCTGTCGCCACTGGGTTTTAAGAAGCTATTTGTACAGAGATTCAGTTGTTCTTTTACCTGCTTAAAATTATTGAGACATTTTGAACTGGTAACCTGATGCAATCCCCCGCAGAGAGAATCCATTCGGATTCACATTATATTCATCATGATTTCCCTCCCCAAGCAAAGTTTAAATCAACATTGTATTAAAGAATATTACCAGAACCTTCTGCCTGGAGTGTTGGAATGAACTCCGAAATAACTCCACCTAGTATAAATAGCTCTAAACATTTAGCGGGATTGGGGGAACATTTTGTTTCATTATTATTTTGTGGAACTACAATATAAACTTGAATATAAAACTTATTAGCTGGACAGGTGTTGTTTTTCATTATTTCACCTCATACGATATTACCCGTATTACTGTCAGACAAGGACAAATCATCTGTTTTTACTCCCAGAACCCTGAGCATCCTCATCATTGTTCTTAGTAAAGGAAGATTTATCTAGAAGCTGTTGCATTTAGCTTTCAGAAGTATATAGAGAACAGAGTAGAGATGGCTTGAGGCTTTTGTTAAGAAAGTCTTGCGTGTTTTTCCCCACAGTTTTTTAATTTTGTAAATGCTGGAAAATAGGAAAAGCCTTTATAACAATATTTTGCTTTTTTATAAAGACATTTAACAGAACCTCAGCAGGACAAACAAGCTCCATTCTGTGATTTATAAATCCCCATCTAAAGCTAACTTCTTCTGCATATGAATTACCAGGCAGTGGCAGGATTATAAAAGCTAGCGTACAGCTGCAGTTAGCGCTCAGTGCTGTTTGCTGGACAGAATTTCTGTTGCACGGTTTGAATTTTCGTCTGCCGCTAAATGTCTGAGACATAGTGGTTCAAGGTTGATAGCACAGTGACTGAAAACAGTTTTTAGTGGGATTTTATTCTTAAAGGATTATGTTAACTAAATATTAATGATATATTTCACTGTGGGGATCATTAAATCGCAAACTGTTAAATTCTCAAAACAAAGCTAGCGTAAAAATGGAACATGATGGTCCAGGGATCATGTGCCAGATTGTCGCTCTGATATCAACATTGCCCACTCCTTACTGGTAAATAGACACCAAACTGTTAGTATCAAACCCATGGTTTCTTCAGCTTTGTGTATTTGAACAGAGAAGAGTTTAACTATGTTTCTTTAATACTTGAAAAAAGGACTTTAGCTAAAATAAGTACTTGTCTCCAATGGAAAAAAAAATCTTGGAAACCTGAGGCTCTTAGTTCTGACATCGATAAAAGGTTTAATTTAAAATTTGACCCCATTTAAATGTAACCTTATAATGGATTAAATATGTTGTAGTTTTCTATTACCTTCAAAAACCCATGTTTGCGATACTTAAAAACTCCTCATTTGATAATTACATATCCTTTGTTATATTTTTCACCCCTGGAGGTGGCCATTTTATAGCAGTGCAATGCATGCTGGTTAGATGATGCATTTGGGTCTGACTGGACTGAAACCTACGGAGTAAACACAGGAAGGCTAACAGTAGCAGAGTTGTGAATCACATGACTGGTGTGAATTTAGACAATGCCACGCTGCTTTGCTGCCTCAAAGTTTTCCTAAATACCGTACATCATATGTTTAAGTCAACCTGGTAAATGTTTCCTTACAGCCGCTGCTGTTGCACAACATTTTACTTCAGCTACCATAATAGGTCCACGCAGAATAATTCTCTCTATCACAGAAGTCTGTAATATCTCAGACAGTTTCTGAAAACTTGGACATCTGGTCCCCATATTCTTAAAGCCTAAAGATCATATTTAAAGGACATCCACAGACGCCTCCTTGTTTCCTCACTTTACGCTGAATGTCAGACTGAACCGATGTGTTTTTCTCCTCACAGTGATTACTTATTCAAGCTGCTGCTGATCGGTGACTCCGGCGTCGGAAAGTCCTGCCTCCTGCTTCGGTTCGCGGTAAGTTTCTGTGTGTCTGTGATCTTTTTGCTGATGAGCAGCGGGTGTCTCACTCTCCCGTCTGTCTGACCCCCCCACACACAGGATGACACGTACACAGAGAGCTACATCAGCACCATCGGGGTGGACTTTAAGATCAGGACCATCGAGCTGGACGGGAAGACCATCAAGCTTCAGATTGTAAGAAAGCCCCCCCCCCCCCCCCCCCCCCCCCCCCCCCCCCCCACCACAGATAATTTATAACACTTGTTTGGTTTAATCTGACCTTAATCTGACCCTCTGCAGTGGGACACAGCTGGGCAGGAGAGATTCAGAACCATCACATCCAGTTACTACAGAGGAGCTCATGGCATCATAGTGGTCTACGATGTGACAGATCAGGTCAGTGACCTCTAGCAGGACACATTCATCCATGGTCCAACTGGACTGATAACCAGTAAACATCCGGTTAATGGAGGGGGTATAGATCAGTGTTGACCTGCTCGGATCAGCCATAAGCATCCGTCTGAGATGAGACGTTTTTGCTTTTAAGGTTCTCGGAGGGGTTTGCCTCTGAAGTTCTGTTCATGATCTCCCCTTTTTAAAGTTACTCAAATCCGTTCGTTCTATCCAGATTTCATATCCTTAAAAAGGTTTTACTGTGAAATACATAAATAATGGCTTCATTTTAGTTATTTCAGATATGTGACTGTTGATTTACATTAAAAGTAGCAGAAGATTTGGTTTACAGGTGATTTTACTGGATTTAGAATAGAATAGAAAATCACTTAATTGTCCCACAATGGGGAAATTCTGGTGTTTACAGCAGCAAAAAGACTGCAGGAAAAATGCTCACACAAATGTGGACCTTAGAAAAATGTATAAGAATAACGTAATAGTGAACATTTAAAAGATAAATAATAAAATAATGTTCTGTAAAATGTTTTAACAATATAAAACCGCACCTGGACAGTTTTATATTTAAACCAAAGATCCAAAGAACGTCCTCTGACCTTAGTTTAGTCAGACCCTCTGCAGTACATCATATGTTTAAGCCAACTTGGTAAAAAAAAAAAAAAAAAGTGTTAGGGTTAGGCTCAGCTGCATCATTTTAAAGTTGCGTTTGCTTTCACCCTCAGGAGTCCTTCAATAATGTTAAACAGTGGCTCCAGGAGATCGACCGCTACGCCAGTGAGAACGTCAACAAGCTTCTCGTAGGGAACAAATGCGACCTGACCACAAAGAAGGTGGTGGACTACACTACAGCCAAGGTATGTGGGTCTCAGAGTTCCAGTCAGTCTGCAAAAGGTCTGAGGAGCACGCCTTTCAACAGCTGCCCCAGTGTAGCCCAAGGGTAGCTTGGATTTTAATAATAATGATAATAATTGAACTTAACTGGTTTCTCATTGGAGAAATGTACCTCTTCATTTAACCCATCCCTTTGGGAAGCAGTGCATCGTTGGGCGTCTGGGGAGCTATCAGGGGGTTAAGGTTCTTGCTCAGAGACCCAGAGTGGCAGTCTGTGGGATTGGGTTTTAAACTCACAACCGGCCACAGTGTTGCCGATTCATCTGAATTTTCCTCATCAGTAAAAACGTAACTAAAACCTTGATCGTTTTTCTCTTCTCCAGGAGTTTGCAGACAACCTTGGGATCCCGTTCCTGGAGAGCAGCGCCAAGAGTGCCACCAACGTGGAGCAGGCCTTCATGACTATGGCAGCTGAGATCAAGAAGAGGATGGGCCCCGGGGCCACAGCCGGTGCCTCAGAGAAGTCCAAAGTCAACATCCAGAGCAAGCCGGTCAACACTTCATCTGGAGGCTGCTGCTGAGAACCATGAGGTGCCGCGATCCGACCCTCCCCACCCCTTCACTGACCCGCCCCCCAAGTCCGCCACCTGTCTTCATGTCCCTTCCACCACGTCCTCCTCAGAAAGACAGTCAGGAGGACCCAACGGCGTCCCTGTGTCTCAGTCAGCAGTAAGGCGATAACCTCCCCCCCCTAATCACACCGCCGTCTCCCATCGCACGGAAAGCGTTTAAAAAAAAAAGTGTCTCCGGTTTGTGCTGCTCTTCACCACCAGTAGTGCAGAGCAGCACGACTCTTCAGACGGAGCTCACGCTCAGACCGGCAGCGTGCACGCTGCACCGCGCTCCTTCAGCAGGCTCCGCCCCACACAGCCCACGTGCCTTCACGGCAGGAGAAGAATCCACGCTGCTCCACAACAACATTCCCGCCTGCCTGCGTGCACGCTGCCGGTTTAGTTTGCTCGCTGAGCGCCGCTCCTCCAGAGCTCCTATAAACTGTATATATTTATACATAAATGTTTGCAGAGCATGTAGAGCAGAGAATGAAAGGAAGCGGATATCTGAGCACCTCATATGTGGCTGCGGACGTGACATTTTTGTGGCACAGTGTCTATTAAAGAATGAAGGAGATCTTTGATAAGAGCTCGTTCCTGTGTGGTCTGTTCTTCTCTGATTCCTCAGATTTATTCATTAATCTGATCACCGTTGATGCTCCATTTCTGAAATCTGCTCTTAATCCATACACTTTGGAAAAAATCCTCAGAGCTGTAATTTTCTGGATTTAGAGAATCCAGGGTGAGGGACCATTCCTTTCTAGTTTTCTGACATGTTTTCCAATATTATTGAAGGCAAAGATCACATTTCAAATAATGAATTTAAAACCGGGTTCCTACAGTAGTTATGAAACTTAATGTACAGAAATCTAAAGGTCATGAGGTCACACTCAGAATATGACTTTGTTCATTTTTCATCACCCCTTCTATATGCTCTTTTTTTCATTGATGCTGATTTTTTTTTTTTTTTTATAAATTCATTTATCTATAAACTAAAATTGGTAGTAAATTTAACACGGGGATTGCTGTTAAATGTGTAAAACGTGGTTCAAAAATAGAACTTTGAAAAAAAAATTCAATAAAAATTTTTTTGGAATTAATTTGTCTGGATTAGATTTTGTTTTCCATTTTTTTTTTTTCAAAATATTTTAGGGGAGCATAAGTTTTATAATTTACATTCTTTTCATATTCTGATGGAGAAGGGCAATGCATGGACCAACGGAAATGATTCTGCCCTGCCTGGACGTTAGCAACGACATTTGGGAAAATCAGAAAAAAATTTTTTGAAAAGAAATGGGGTTCCACAATCCTGAAATTATCATCTGAAATCAAGTTTAATCATTTCTTTTAAATGGAGCTTATTTGAGCCTTCTGGTTACATATGAGAGCTCGCCTTCTTCGCTTTGCTTTCCCTTTACCAATTGATGTTATGACTGAAGAAAATTTTGCTCTACACTGCAAAAAATATAAATCTAACTAAGTCATTTTTTTTTTTAAAATAAGTACATTTGTTCTTGAATTGAGGGGGAAAAGGAGATACTTTGCAAATGGAACAAGACAATTTACATTTAAAATAAGAAAAAGCCATTGCTTTGTCATTTCAAGAGCATATTATCTAATTATTTTATTTTAAGAGTAAAAATACTCATTCCATTGGCAAATCATCATTTACCTGCTCAAATTAAGGGTGAATACACTTGATTTAAGACATTTTTACTCATTTCTAGATCGTTTTAGCAGTGTAATTACATTCTTTTTTTAACTCATCTGCGTCCAACTATTAGTCTGAAAAGAGGATAAACTGAAAGACAGTAAAGAATCTATAGAATATTCTAGGTCTATTTGAGTTGATAAGAAAACCTGAGTCACATCTATTCAATTCACAAAGATCTAGAAGCTGTGATAAATCATCCCACATTATACAGTCAGATTAATATTTTTTTCCTTTTAGCTGATTAACAGCATCACGACCCAAATGGAACAATTTATCCTGCAGGAAACTTAAAATCAATCAAATCAGTAAAGCAAAGAGCAAATGGAAGCGTGCAGACACACATAAAAATAAATAATATAGAAATATATATAATAAATTCAGACTGTAAAGATAATATACAGCATAAGAAAAAAATGCGCAGATAGAAATATCAGACTCAGATTTGTTTAGATTATGAACAAATGGGAAACTTCAAATATTAGCAGGGGTGTGAATACTTACTGGGTCCAAACAGCAGAGGTTAGTACCGTAGTAATTAGTTACATTTACTCAGTTACATTTTACTGGAGTAACAATTTGAAAAAAAAATTACTGCAAAAACGATCTAGAAATAAGTACAAATTTCTTAAATTAAGTGTATTCACCCTTAATTTGAGCAGGTAAATGAGATAGTTTGCCAATGGAATGAGTAATTTTACTCTTAAAATAAGATAATTAGATAATATGCACTTACAATAAGACAATGTAATTGTGTTTTCTTATCTTAAGTGTAAACTGTCTTGTTCCATTGGCAAAATGTTTCTTCTACCACCTCAATTCAAGAACAAATGCACTTATTTTAAGAAAAAAGGACTTATCTAGATTTAGATTTTTTGCAGGGTAGAAGTAGTTGTACTGTGACGTACTTCTTACTTTTACTTGAGTATTTCAGTAAAGTATCGCCGTTCCTACTTGAGTAAAATCTCTGACTACATTGTTCTTTATGAGTAATTTGAAATATTCCAAAATCAGGTAAACTTACAGTAAACAGATATTAACAGTGGGCGTTTATTAATTTTTCCTAATATATATACAGTTCTCATTGTAAGGATTGGTTTTCTAAGCATTTCTCCTGCATGAATCTGTTCTTGTATATTGATAACATTTATATTCTTTAGGCATTTGAGTCTTTAAAATACCAGAACTTGCACATAAAGTCTTTCAGCAGCATGATTTATAAACATTAAATCTTAGACTTAGATTTATTTTGTCATTTGTAGACACACGTGTAAACAAAAAGAAATGTTAAGAACACCTCTCTAGACAATTTCATTTTTTTAAAGTGCAGCCTTGAAATCAGTAAAAACGACATAAAAACAGTAATATAAACATATGACCATCAGTTATTCCGTTCCCTTTTTAATGAAATACTTTTTTACTTTCACTGGTGTGAAAAAATGTAAAAGTAGTGCTACTCTGAAATGAGTAAAATTTTTGGGTAATCTACCGATCTCTGCTGAACAGACCTACTTGAGGACAATTAGTTCCCCAGTTAACCCAGTAGTCCTGTTTGGACTGGGGAAGGAGCAGGAGAACTGGGAGGCCTTCAGGCAGTGGCATCTGATCCCTGAATGACTTGTTACTCATGGAGGGAGTAGAATACCCAGATAATTTGCTGACAAGAGCATTACTTAAGCAAAGTAATTGTAAATTTTTATCTAAAAAGTGCTCACATCAATGTAACTAATTTCTACCCACCTCTGCATCCATGTCTGCTTTATCAGCGGATCTTTTATTTGCAAAACCTTCATTACATCAAAATGTTCTTTCATGAAGAGAATCAGAACATCCCTGCAGTACAAAAGCAATAATCCAAGTCAACTACTGTGTAGTCTTTCCTACGGAAGAGGATTAGGGCCACTGAAAAAAAAAAAAAAAAAATTAACTGATTTTTAAATTTTCTTAAACTCAGAATTCAGACTTTTTCTCAGAATTCTGACTTTTTTTCTCAGAATTCTGAGAAAAAAAGTCAGAATTCTGAGATTAAAGTCAGAATTCTGAGATTAAAATCAGAATTCTGACTTTTTTCCCCATACTAAACTGAAATAAAATGTAAAAATCAGTTAACTTTTTTTTTTTTCTCCACTGGCCCTAATCCTCTTCCGTACTTTCCTTATCCCTCTACTGTGTAGATATTTTTTTATATCTAAGGGAAAAATATTCCATCCATCCATTATCTGACACGCTTGTCCCAACTCGGGTGGCGAGGGGTGCTGGTACCTATATCCAGCAGTCAATGGGTGAGAGGCGGGGTGCACCCTGGACAGGTCGCCAGTCCATCGCAGGGCAACACAGAGACACACAGGACAAACAACCATTAATGCACACCTAAGGAGAATCTAGAGAAGCCAATTAACCCAACAGTCATGTTTTTGGACTGTGGGAGGAAGCCGGAGTACCCGGAGAGAACCCACGCATGCTCAGGGAGAACATGCAAGCTCCATGCAGAAAGACCCTGGGCCAGGAATCGAGCCCAGAACCTTCTTGCTGCAAGGCAGCAGTGCTACCCACTGCACCACTGCAAAATAAAAATATTCCAGGACATTTTGTACTATATACACTCTTTTTAAATTGTCTGTTGTATTTTTATCTTTAATGGCATCTTGCTTTAACCCTTTGTACTCTATATAAGCTACTGGAACCAGAATTTCCCTGAAGGAGTAATCCCAAGAGATAAGTCCCAGTCTAAGAACCAAGAATGCATCAATTTCCTCTTAAATTATTTTAATTTCTTGTGTACACTAAAATTTACAGATTTCCAGTCTGAAAAGAAGCCGGGCATGCACGGCGACCTCCTCACAGCCTCTGACTGCGATTCAGCCGTTTTCCATAGGAACCTCCTGGAACATTTAGTCCATAGTTTAACTGTACACAGTCTAAAGCCACAGTGAGCTATGATTACATCCATTTCATCTTTACAATGTGCAAAAATCCTCCTGGGAGACGGCGACATTAGAATGAGCGAAAAAAAAAAAAAAAACAAACAAAGAAAAACAGCAACAGACACAGACAGGTTTGTCCCTTAATTGCTTCACTGCTGCCAGATTCAACCAAACAAGAATAACAGGAAGGACATATTCACACAGGTGGATGGAGAGCAGCTTCACGAGGCGGGAACGAAGCTGCAGGACACAGAAAACCCTGGAAGGGAGAAACTAAGGCCTCCGAACAGAACGAGGGACGAACATTCAGCTGGATTCTGCAGGCAGTGTGGTTTCAAGTCCATAAATAGATTTATAAAGACTCTTATGTTTATATAAATGTTTTCATACTTTGTAGACCTCTATGAGTCCCACTTCAGTTTAAGAGCTCCAGCCAGTGTTTCCTTCACACTACCGCCAAAATAAAAGCAGAATCACTCAAATAAAACATTAAATCCCTGATTATGTACACACCCCTCCCCCAAAACAGAAACGGTGAACTTTATTCAGAAAAACTAAATAATGAACAAAAAAAAGAGGAATTATGCAGGTTAATGCGCGGGGTCTGTTAGTGCGATGGGCGGGGCTTCAGTCGGGCGTGGCCTGTGAGCAGAGTGGCGTCAGTGTGGCAGGGAACATCAGAACCTTGGCCTGCATGAAGGAGAGGTCTGGCAGCGCTGCGATCACCTTGGACGCCTCCTCGCTCAGGTTCTCGTCTTTCCTCGGCTTCCTGTCGGGGGCAGAGACACAAACCAGCTCAGAGCGGTTCTCACTGGGGGTTACGCAGCAGAAAGCGGAGCGCCGGCTCTTACCTGGTGGACGTGCTGGTTTTCTCCATGGTGGACATGAGGCGGGCGAAGGCGTCGGCCACGCGGCTCCCGGCGCCACTTGAGTCCAGCTTGGTAGTGGTGAGCTCAAACAGTTCCGGGTCCACACCTGAGACAGAGGGGGAGAACAGAGATGACCCAGATGGAACCAAACGGACCAAACAGGAGAAACTTTTAGCAGAACATCT